CTTTCTTTCTTTCTTTCTTTCAGGCTGTTTTAAAAAGGTACTTCTAAAAAAGGTGCCACCAGTTTTATTCATGATTCCACAATCATATTTTGTTTACTTCTGACCTCATGGCATATCTGACCTTGTCTGTCACTATTTGTCACCAAGCCCACAGTGATATATTCAAACTAATATAATTGATTAATCCAATCAAAAGTCTAAAGTCCCATATTCAATTTGCAAAAATAGTAAAAAAAAAAAAAAAAAGCTATAAATGCTCAATTTAAGAAGCTAGAACCAGAGAAAATTTGGCATTTCTGCTTGAAATTTTACTTGATTACTTAATTATTAAAACATTTAGCAATTAATTCTCTGTCAATTGACTAATTGTTTCAGCTATAGCGAGGACATTGTCAAAAAAAGAGCCTTTCCTGATTACATCAACCGCAACATAAAAAAGGTGGAAACCTGGCAAATTAGAGAAAAAACAAGTGAGGGGAAGTGGAAAGAAGATCAGAGGAAGGAGAGTTAGTTCGGAGTCCCTGTAGAGCAGCGGTTCGGAGAAAAGGGGCATGAGAATGAACCCCCTGACAACACCAAATAAGAGCAAATCTGTCTCTCAACTACTGACACGTTTCACAAAGAATTCCCTGCAGCATGCCAATGAAACTAACAAACACACACACGCAGCACAAAGGTCATGCATGTAGGTTACATAAACGTAAATATGCATATAAAAAAATAAGCTAGAGAGGTTTTATGGCATGGATTCCTCTTTCAGCTGGAGCAGTAGGAGGGAAATAAGGAGGCAGCTGAGCGAGAAGAGATACAGAGGAGGAAAGGGTGAAGATTGTTGTCACGGAAAAGTATGATGAAATCGGAGGAGTGAAGAAACCCCAAAGACAAACAGGGAGAAGGGGCAGAGGGAGGTGATGCTGAGACCGGGACGGACTCGATGGACTGGAGAGATTTCATCCCAGGGGAGAAAACTGAGGACGAATATTCCCACACTTACTCACAGAGCTCTTTGTGAGCAAGCGCTTTCAGACTGCATTCATTTCTAATGTTATACACAAGTAAAACAAACATCTCTGGGTCCTGTAAAGAGTCACCTTTACTTTTATTGTTCCAATTTTATCTTGTATGGACCAGACTTTACAGCCTGCTTATCTAGTCTAAGATCTGAATTTGGTTCACTGTTGGCAAATGCATCAAATATGTCACTTTATAGACTAGATAACCAGGTAAATTGTTCTAATGTGGCCAATATTAGGTCTCAGTAGCAGAAACATACTGTTTAGCCGTTATGTTTCAGCCCTGTTGTTGGTGGCCGGTAGCAGTCAAGGCTTTTTGCTCCTCCTTTGCAGCTAGTCCAAGTCAGTTTTGCTAAAAAGTGACTGAGCTGGGAAGGATCAGATCCCACCTCTCTCAGTTTATACACCGAGTCACGAGTGCAGCAACAAGAACATGATCCATAAAACCCTGTACCACTGCTGGGAATCGCACTGGGTGTCTGGAGGTGGACAAATAAAATATTTGTTTTACCGCTAAGCTACCCGTGTGAGCTTACAGTAAGTGTTTTTATTCATCTGTTTTTATAGGGCAGATGACTGCCACATATCACATAAAAAAACAGTGTGTTTATGTTGGTAGTGTATGCTTTTATTTTGCCTTTCAAAGAGCATAATGGTTTTAGTCTGTCTGGAACTGCAAAATTACTTCTGTAAATCATTTTCTAATCAAAAACATTGCTCTGTAAGTATTTTTTATCTTATAAATATAACAACTTCTGATCAACCAACATCAGTTTAAGGCTTAAATTAACAATTTCTGGTAAGCCCTGCCCTTTTCCTGTTTAAGCACTTTGGATTTAAGCCACACCCACTCTGAGTACGAGTGTGAATACAGATAATTCAGTTGGTTGAACAGATAAAGATAATGGTGTATCCCACCTACCAATACAATACCATGCAGTTCAATACAGGATAGATAGTTTGATTTAATTTCTTTGGTTTTTCTTAAGCAGCTTTAGAAACAGCTTACAGAGGAGGAAGAAATAACGCTCACATTTCCAAATAATATAGGACACTAATAATTATTTAGAAATAAACTTTTTTTTTTTTACAGATGCAAAGATGTTATAAATGATGCATCCCGATTTAATCTCAGCTTGTATCCGGGGAACACTTTAACTGGTGCAACTGTGTCTTGAACTATTTTGCCGGTGCACTTGCCATATTATTTAATTTACAGTATAGTGTTGGGGGTTCGCACAAACAGTGTTTGCTGTAATAAGTTGTGTAA